CCATCTGACTCTTGCTGACTTGGCTAAGGAGACTAGGGGTGATACTGGATCCAGCTTTAATGCTGGAGAAGCAAGATGATGCAGCTGCAAAAAATACATTGCATCAACTCCACTTAGCTTGATAAATGACCCCCTATCTTGACACTGCATACCTGGCCATGCGGATCCATGCTATGGTTCTCTCAAGGCTAAGCTACTATAATGCACTCTACATGGGTAGGTCCTTAAATACAAACTCCAGTTAGTACAGAACACCACAACCTTGCTACTACCTGGTGCTAAGCAGAATCTGCATATCACTCCCATTTTGCAGATACTCCACTGATCAGGTACCGAGCTGAATTTGATGTTCTAGGTATCAAGGCCTTTAAAGGCACCAGACTCAGATACCTGCAGGACCACTTCCCTATTATGTTCTGTTGCAACAGCTCTTCTTAAGGTTCCACCCAGCAAGCAGGTAAATCAAAAACTGCCCATTCATGCGCATTTCCTGCGGTAGTTCCCACATTATGAAATGGTCTGCCTGAGGTTATTAGGAAGGCGTCCACGCTTCTATCATTTTGCAAAATGCCCCAAACAGATTTATTCAGGAGGGCGTGCTCATAGAAGGAGCAAAGCTGCCGTATAATGTATCTGCTCAGCTAGTGACTTTTATTAGGGATAAAGCTTTTTCTTATATTGATTGTCTTGTTGCCTTAAACAGATATGTATTGTTCTTGTTATTTTCCCCCATTCTAGAATCCCTGGCCAGGAATCATTGCTGTTCGATTCAAATGTTGTTTTATTTTGTAATTTGCTTACCGATTGACTGAAAAGTTTTTATTTTATCATACTTGTAGTCCACCTTGAATCCCAGTAAGAAAGGCAGACTATAAATAAAAATGTTGATGATTATAATAATTTAACATTTCCCCATCCAGAATAGATTGAATAATCTGAATTCACTTATTATGTGACAGATAGTCAAGAACACTGTATCCATCAGCCTGCTCCAATCATCATGCTAGAAACGACACTCAGCATTGTCCAAAACCATCTGACATTAGGGAAATAAGACATAAAGTAAACAACCACTATCCTGTACATTGAATAATGCTGTGATAAGGGAATCCTGCACTGGTGAGTCAGGAAATCCAGGAATAAATTATCAAACGCCTCAAAAAGAACGTCTGCAGTTAATCCTTATCATGGAATAAATGCCATCTCAACGAGTTCTACACAACATAGTTTTGGAATATTTTGGCAACCAGAACTTTCTAAATGAAACTCTGTATTTTCACTAGGGTATTGCCCTCTCTTGAAAACCATCTCTGGACCCAGATGAATTGGCAAATTACTAGCCAGTCTCCAATCTGCCCTATCTGGGCAAAATAATAGAGAGGGCTGTGGCAATTCAGCTACAGAGCTTTTTGGATGATGCTTCCATCTTAGATCCCTTCCAGTCCGGTTTTCGCCCAGGCCATGGGACAGAGACAGCACTGGTCACCCTCATGGATGACCTCTGGAGGTATCTGGATCGGGGCAGTTCGGCAGTGCTGCTGCTGTTGGACACAGTCGACCATCAGTTACTGATCCACCGTCTTGCCAACACAGGAGTTCAGGGGTCTGCCTTACAATGGCTTGCCTCCTTTCTCTGAGGTCAGGGACAAAGGTTAGGGGAACAGCTATCCTGCAGGCACCCACTGAACTGTGGAATGCCTCAAGGGGCAGTGCTCTCCCCGATGCTATTTAATATCTATATGCGCCCCCTTGCCCAGATTGCCCGGAGGCATGGGCTGGGATGTCACCAATATGCGGATGACACCCAGCTCTATCTATTGTTGGGCGGCCAGTCTGACTCTAAACCAGAAGATCTGGACCAGGCGTTACAAGCCATGGCTCATTGGCTTAGACTGAGCCGAATGAAATTGAATCCAACGAAGACAGAGGTCCTGTGCCTGAGTCGGGGCGGTCCGAGGGTAGGGATCCCATCCCAACCTTCGATGGGCGCTGTTGGTGCCAGCGCCAGAGGCTAGGAGTTTGGGAGTGCTCTTGGGACACCTCCCTAACAATGGAGGCTCAGGTAGCAAACACTGCTGTCAGCCTTCTACCATCTTCGGCTGATCAAGCAGCTGGTTCCCTTCCTCGACCGTGATGACTTGGCAACAGTGATCCATGTGATGGTCACCTCAAGACTTGACTACTGTAACGCTCTCTACATGGGGCTGCCTTTGTCGCAAATCCAGAAGCTGCAGCTACTGCAAAATGCGGCGGCCAGGCTCTTGATGGGTCTCCCTATGCGGGAACACATCCAGCCTGTGCTAAAGGCACTACACTGGCTGCCAACAGCATTCAGAATTCGCTTCAAGGAGCTGGTTCTTACCTTTAAAGCCCTATATGGTCAGGGGCGAACATACCTGAGGGACCACCTTTCCCCATATGTACCCCAGTGAGCACTGCATTCAGGGTCTCAAAATTGATTGACCCTCCTGGGCCCCAAAGACGTCAGAATGGCAACAACCAGGGACAGGGCCTTCTTGGTGGCGGCTCCGTACTGGTGGAATGAGCTCCTGGAAGAGATCAGGGCCCTGTAGGACCTTTTACAGTTCCGCAGAGCCTACAAAACGAAGCTCTTCCACCAGGCTTTTGGTTAAGGAGCCACCACCATTAAAACCAACAACATTATCACTAAAGATCATTAACAATACTTGAGAAATACAGAGCCCATGCCCTGATTCCATTGTTACAGCCTTTGTAAGCCGTCCTGAGCCTGCTTTGGGGGGGAGGGCAGGGTATAAATGGAATAAATAAAATAAAAATAAAATAAATTTTTATCCCAATTACGAAGGATTCCTACTGCAACATTAAGAACTGGGCAAGTTTATCTGTTATCTGCATATTATGCAGATTAAATAATAACTTGAGTTCTATTGAACTGTACATTGTGCCAGATATACACACACTTAAAAAACAGATGGAACTGATCCAATGAACTATGTTGAGCAATGCATAAACAAATACTAAATCTTCATTTTTTTCTAACACATGTGATTAACCACTTTTAATCAACAATTTTATGTTTTAATAAGAAAGATGTACCCTGACCTGGATGAGCCCAAGCTAGCCTGATATCAGATCTCAGAAGTTAAGCAGGATCTGCTCTAGTTAGTATTTGGATGGAAGTCCACCAAAGAATTCCAGAGTTGCTATGCAGAGGAAGGCAATGGCCAACTACCTCTGTTAGTCTGTTGCCTTGAAAACCCTACAGGGTTGTTATGTTTGTGACCTGATCTTATTTTACACACAAAAAGAAAGATGAATGTCAGTTTTTCTCAGAGGAACAGGCCCAGAAGAAAAGAGAAAGGTATATCTAGGAAACTACATCTTCTGGATTCCTACTAGTAAGATTTTTTTAAAGGAAAGGATAAACAAAATCAACTGAAAGGATTGGTGTCAAAATCCTCATTCCACATTGCCATTTCCAACTAACACTATACATGTAATTTTCAAAATCAGTAAAAAGAAAAATAATTAAGAAATTTATTGAACAGCTATAAAGGCCTAGGAAACTCAAGTAGTACAGACTAAATGTGTATAGGTTATTCTAGGAGGGAGAAAAAACCCTTTAATTCAACAAATATTTCAAATGTTATTGTCACTTCACCAAATGAAAAAAAGGTTAAAAAAAATAACAATCCCAGAGTCAGGTCTGTTTAAATGAGCTGATAGCAAACACAGCAGTACTACTCCTAAACAATATCCATCTAAAATAGGCTATACAATACTCATAGGAGCAAACGCAGTTGCTTCTTTTTGTTCCAGTGCTACATTTCACTACACAACATAGCTTTGCCAAATATTTTTGCAACGGTTTTAGGGACAGTTTCATTTCCTGCAGCTGCTCGACAGTATGAGCTGGGGGGGGGGGAATGATTCTAGGGTGAGGGAGGGGAATTGGGCGGAAACACAATGAAGACATGTATGATTGCATTTTATTATTCTTGTGTTTGAAAGCAGGAAGCTGAAAAGAAGCCCTCCAGTCCAGTTGCATTCACAGTTCTATTGTTATCGGTACTGAACTGTGCAAACCAACGATCTTAATAAGCTTATCTTGGGGAACATATTGTCAGATATGTTAATGCAAGGAAAGGGGGGGGGACCCTGCTGCCCAAAGGTACATGCCCAGCCATTAATCAAAAAACGCTCAGAACTGTGACAAAGAACCTAGCCACCATCCTCCTCCTCTTTCTTCACAAGCAAGGAATGCAATGGAAACGTAGCACATCAATAAGGGAGAAGAAGGTCAGTGTTCCCTGTAAGGCGGCATAGTCGACATGCGCAGACAAGGTGCTATGCCCTTTCGGAACCTGCTGTACAGCCCACCTTGTTTCCAAACCCAAGATTCGGGGGAGGCAATTTTGGAGTGTACGCCTGAAACCCTGACCTCTGCTGTCAACCTTTCCGCCAATCAGGCTGCGCAAATCTTACAAAGCTCCATCAATCTGGCGGTTTAGCATCGCAGACTGCAGTTTAATCTAGAGGATTCCATTTTCCCTTCCACACTGCCACAAGCCCCCTTTCCCCCTCCCCTTTCTTCTCGTCACCAACCTTCTTCTCTTCCCCGGTCCCGCTGCAAAAATGCAAGCGGAGAGCAGCGTTGCAGTCTGAATCTTTCTGTACAAGGCGGCTTGCTTCTCAAAATGCAAAGCAAAGGGAGGGAGGGAGGAAGTCAAGCCCTTACAAGACAGAGGGAGTCTATTCACGAGCTGTTTTGTCATCTGGACAATGCCAAAGGCTCGACCAGCTAGACCACGCCGCATGCTTGAGAGAGGGAGCCGCGCCAGATTCGGTTTAAAGCGCCGCTGTTTTTGTTATGCAACCGCCTGCAAGCCTCCCCCTGCTCCTCTCCACCCCGCTCTGCTGTAGTTTCCCATGCCCGGGTGTGTGTGTGTGTGTGTGTGTGTGCGTGCGCGCGCGTGCCCGCCCAGCGGAGCCCCGAGAGAAAGGGAGCTGCTGGTTACCTGTAGGAACGCTCCCCTCGCACCGTGTGCTTCCTGAAAGGGATGATGGTGCCGTTGTCCTGGATGATGTCGTTGTTGTTCTCGCCATTTGGGGACAGCGCTTGGGTAGGTCCAGGCATTGGAGCGCTCCCGACAGGCAAGCAGCCCTCACCCGGTGTGGAGAAGCAGGGGCGGGCTCGCGCTCTGGGTCGCCGGGCTCGTCTGCTCCTTCGCTACGGATTCTGTCCGTCTCCCTCGCACCCCCTCCCCTTTCCTCTCTGGCCGCTGACGTCAAACAGCCGGGAGCAGCTCTCGGGCCACGTGACGAGGCTCCTCGCCATGGCAACCAGCTAACTCATCATATCTGCTCCATTCGCACAGGGCGAGAGCAGCGCGACCACACCAGTGCAGCCAGGGAGGCGCAAGGGGCACGCAGGCCTCACATCTGGCGCGTCAAGCACCAAGTTGACCCCCCCCCTCCTTCCAAAGCAGCTCCTTCCTCTATGATTTCCCTTCAGTCATTCAAGAAATGCAGCTGCACATGCAAAGAGCCAGCTTTTCACGTTAAGGGTGTGCTTAAGCGGGTGCAGCACTGGCCATTTTTTTCATCTCTTCCTCCTCCCCAGTTTAAACAAAACGAGTAACGGTGCAACGTGGAAAGACATGTACGTTTCATGCAGATTTAAGTTGCCTGAAACCACAGCAGCCACATTGTAATCGAGGGCTGGTGGGCGTAGACGACACACGGCAAAACCTGTGAGGTTTAAAATTCGGGGGGGGGGGGTGTTAAGAAACGACCGTTTTGTAATAAATCACATTGGCTTGCACGGTGGAAGGGGAAGTTCTCAATGGGTAAGGAGGCAGGATTGCACCACATCAAAAAGCATATTTACATGGCTCTTAAATCATCTCTTAAAATAATAGGTTGCAAGATTTTCAACGGAACAGAAACATACATTTTCGCCATGCTAAACCCAGAGACAAGCTAAGATGCAGCATGATTTTCTTCAGCCCGTCACACTCAGACACTTGAGTCATTGTTTGTCCTACATTTAGGAGGAAAAACAAAACAAGAACCAAGCCTTTTTTTCAAAGCCTCATAATCCACCATCATCTCTGTCCCTGATAATACCAAGTTATTTTGGGTCTCAAGATACTGGAATTAGTATCAACACCAGCCTCTCCCCTACTAAACCCAGATGTCAACAATAATCCAAACATCAGCAACAAGGCACACAGGCTCTCATTTCTCCAGTTGTTTTCTTTTCTCTCAGATTTCAGTTACTTATTACAGGACCTGACCCTTGCACATTTTTCAAGTTTTTTCTTAGTTCTAATTATACAATGATGTATATCTTGCTCTTATTTATTGGAGGGGTGGTGGTTATGTTTTTCAATGGCTTGAAAGTGTGACTTTCACAACTGCTCTCATTCCTAATAAGTGTCTGCCTTCTTCCTATTTCTGTTACAAACTGCTAGCAGGAAAGGGATGCTCTCTTAGACAAAGAATGTGCTGAAATCACTTTGAAAAGTTCAAATACATTTTAAAAGCCTCAGGGCATTTACTGAACCCCTGTGATGGCTTTCTTCCTTTTGAGTATCTGTGCAGGGGGGGGGGCGTAGAGGATGTGGTGTATTTTGCAAGAAGTTACTTTTTTGTTACCAGATCTTTAAATAGCCATGTTAAGCACCTCTTCCTTTTTGTTCACAGCTCATGAACCATGTCTGTCAGTCAGGCTCCTTTGATCTCCAGATGCCCTTGCATACCAACAGTTCTCAGCCAATTAACATACTAAAGTAAACACATATTTGGTCTTAGGAAACATTTTAAATATCAACAAGCAATAATTACCATGGGTGGCAGGGGAGGGGGTGGTTACCCAGATTACATCTTTACTATTGTCTCACTATTCCTTCCACTACATAAGCTTTTGCCTAGACAGTTTCATTCAGATGAGAGGGGATATGCACCTTTTCTGAAAATCCCTAGATATGGTTACACACCAGACAGTTGCCATCAGTTGCACATGCTGTTATAGCTGGGGTTCTAGATGATGAAACAACTGCCTTTCTCCCATGGTTTCCCTGTTATACACAGAATGATTAATTCTTCTGGGTTCTAGGATAGGCTAGAAGTTGGCAATGAACATATGGAAATAAATGACAGTAATTTAAGGGGACTGAAAGGCCATTGGTATGTAAGGTAAAGGTAAAGGTTCCCTTGCTTGAAAGCCAGTCGAGTCCGACTCTAGGGCTGTGGTGCTTGTCTCCGTTTCAAAGCCAAAGAACCAGTGCTGTCTGAAGACCTTTCCATGGTCATATGGCTGGCATGACTAAACACCAAGGCGCACGGAATGCTGTTACCTTCCCACTGAAGTGGTACCTATTTATCTAACTTGCAATTTCTTGCTTTCGAACTGCTAGGTTGGCAGGAGCTGGAACTAGAGACGGGAGCTCGCTCCGTCATGCGGCAACTCGGGTCTTGAACTGCTGAACTACTGACCTTCCACAGCCTGCAGTTCAGCGTCTTAACCACTTGAGCCACCGCAGCTCCTTCCATTGGTATGTACAGTGTCCCAAAAACATGTGGAGAGAAAAACAAGGTATAGGTATTTGTATGTAAATGCTGCAACCTTTTCAGCTAAAATAGGGAAGCTGACATGGCTTGGGACTAAACAGAAACATAGATTATTTTGGTGGGCATTTCAAAGGCCCATTGGAATAGAGAAAATCAATGAGATGCTGTTATCTCTGGATATAAACTCCATTAAAATGTCAGAGAAGAATGTATTGAGGTGGTGTAGCTTAGTATGTTGGAGGCACGGAGTCTTATAAAGCAGCAAATTCCGCTGCATTTACATAGGGAAACTATGGGCCAATAAAGTAACTTAATAGTAGGGATCATAATATTACGCATCAGCAATAATTCTGAGGGTGACCTTGTAATGGAGAAAGAAATCTAAGGGACAAAGTTTATAAAGGGCAACCTTAGAAGTCACAAAGATATCATAAAGGACTAAATATCATAAATCACTGGGCATTGGAAGAGTTAATCTTGGTAGCTGGTGATTTGATCCTTAAGCAAATACATTGATGGGTTGCAAACCCACATTGTGACTGCATGGTGACTTGCTTGCCTAGTACAATAGGCTGGTAGACAGTGCTGGGGAGGAGCCAGTGGTTGTGGTACATGTTGGCACCAACAATGTGGGAAAATGTAGTTGTGTGGTCCTGGAGGAAAAATTTAGGCTGCTAAACAGGAGGCTCAAGGCCAGGACCCCCAAGGTAGCCTTCTCAGAAGTGCTGCCTGTTCCAAGCGCAGGGCCAGCTAGACAGGCACAAATTAGGAGTCTTAATAGGTGGATGAGACAATGGTGTAGGGAGGAAGGGTTTAAGTTTGTTAGGCACTGGGATGCTCTTTGGAACAAGCAGGACCTGTACAAAAGAGATGGCCTCCACTTCTACCAAGAAGGAACCAGGCTGCTGGCACTTAAAATCAAAAAGGTGGCAGAGAAGTTTTAAAACTAAATCCTGGGGGGAAGCTGACAGGAGATGTAATGACTCTGGTTTGGGATGGTTTGTATCTAAAAGATAAAGGGGTGGCTGTTACTGTTCTAGAGGAAAATGGATTAGGACTGACTACTAAGAGGGAGACAAACAATATTGACTGCCTAACAAGGTCTATAGGCCACAGGAGAAAGGTTGCAGGTCTAACGTGTCTGGGAAATTATAGATGTCTATATACAAATGCTATAAGAGTCTAAGGTAAAATGGGGGAGCTGGAATGTTTAATGTCAGAGGAGAACATAGACATTGTGGGGATTGAACATAGAGACTTGGTGGGATGAGAATAATCAGTGGGATACAGTGATTCCTGGATATAAATTATATCAGAAGGAAGATGGGAAGGGTCGGAGGTGGAGTGGCTCTGTATGTCAGAGCGTGTATACAATCCAGTAAAACTGAGAATCTAAGAGATATAGATTCTCTTACAGAAATGATATGGGTAGAAATAGTGGGCCCAAAAGGAAGCTTAAGTCTGGGAGTTTGTTATTGCCCACCAGATCAAAGGTTAGAGGGTGGTTTTAAAACAGCAAAAGAAGTAAGGAAAGCAGCTAACTGTGTCATAATAGGTGATACCCACATATTGATTGGGTCTCCTGTTCAAGTCAGGAGAAAGAGATTGGGTTTCTAGATACTCTCAATAACTGTGTCATGGAACAGATGGTCACAGAACATACTAGGGGGAAGGCAATCCTGGACTTGATCCTAAGTAATGCTCAGGACCTGGAAAGAGATGTAAACATGATAGCGCCAACTGGAACCAGTGACGATAATGCTATTAAGCTTAGCATTTACGTAAACAGGGAGTTGCTCAAAAAGACCAACTTTAGAAGGGGTAATTTATCTCAAATGAGGGGGATTGTGAAGAAGAAACTGAAAGAAAAGGTAAGGAGGGTCAAATCGCTTCAGAAAGTTTGGAGACTACTAAAACTACAATACTGGAAGCACAGATATAATGTATACTACAAGTTAGGAAATGTACAAATAGGCATAAAAACAGGCCTGCATGGTTAACAAAGTAATGGAAGCAGTAAAATGTAAGAAGGATTCCTTTAAGCTGTGGAAGGCTAGCCCAAGTGAGGTAAATAAAGGGAGCGCTGGTTTTGGCAAATAAAATGCAAGTTGGTGATCAGACAGGCAAAAAGGGACTGTGAGAAACATACTGCAAAAAACATAAAGACCAACAATAAAACTTTCTTCAAATACATTAGAAGCAGAAAACCACCTACTGAGATGACACTAAGTTGTTCAGGGCAGTGAGAACCAGGGAGGACTGTGAGGCGCTCCAGAACAATCTGTAGAGGTTGGGCAAGTGGGAGTCAGTGTGGCAAATAAGGTTCAACTTGGGCAAGTGCAAAGTAATGCACATTGGAGCCAAAACTCCTAACTATGAAGTTGATGGGGTCCAAACTGGCAGTAACTGACCAGCAGAGAGGTCTGAGGCCCCTTCTGTACTCGCCTTTTAATCCATGTTCACTGCAGTGTCCTCCGAGCAATTCTGCACTAAAATCAGGTTCAACCTTCTTTTTAATCCAGGTTTCCCCCCCCCATTCTGCATTACGTTACCTCCCTTCAGTGGTCAGCCTGGTTTCAGCCTGCTGTTGCCCTGGGTTATTTGGATGCTGTTTTGCTCTGGACTTAAATTGCCTTGACTGGAACACTGAGAAAATCTGGAGTGGCAGGCAAATGCAGAAAGGACCTTAGAGTCCTG